AGCAGAGTCTGGCCCCAGCCTCTTGCCCTCAGGGTCTCCTTGTCACAGAGGTGCTCCAGGCCCCCCAGCACCTTTGTGACACTTCATCCCAGCCTTCCAGGAATGGAGTGAGCTCTGCAGCTCCCTCTCCACTGGTTATAAACTGAGATTAAACAGCTGACTTGGGCTAATTTAACAGATGGTCACAACAAGGTGACACAAATTCCACTTGACCCATTTTGTTTTAATTGAGAGCCTTGTAACTCCTCACTCAGGGCCTAGCACGAGTGCCTCTGCTCTGACTTTGTTTGGGGGCACAGAAACTTTGATTAATCCCACACAACTTCTACTGCTTAGCCAACATGCCTGAGCTCAGCCAACCCAAGATTCCTCTGGACACAGGCAGCCAAGGGTGACTCCACTGAGGCCTTTCTGTCAAGTGCTGCACGTTAGGGAGGATGAACTTGAGCTCCAGCAAAAAGCAGCTCAGTTTTTTTTCTTTGCTAGTCAACTGAAGCACAAATATAGCTCCAGAATTGCCTCACTTTAAGCACATCAGCCACATAAAAGCTCCATGTGTTAGGGCTTGACATTTGAAAGAACTGGACAAAAAAAAAATGCAGGTGGCTTGAAATTGCTGTCTGGATTCTTCTGCTTCTCCAGCTCTCCTCCAAGCTGTCTGCCTTTTGAGACACAAAGGGCCTTACTGAATGCAGTTCACTTCTCTCCCCAGTTTGGCAACATAATGATTTTGGGGTTTATGTCCAGATTTTAAGAAGGGGGATTAAAATAGCTTTTTTTTTTTAGCCCCCCTAGTTCTCACAGGTTCTGTTGCTGCTGATTTCTGCTCTGTTTCTGTCACTAATTAGATCGCTGAGCTGCGTGAACTTGAGTGGATTGAAGATCTGCCTCTCCTCAGAGTTTTGAATCTTTTAAAAAACCCTCTCCAGGTAAGAAAGAACTGGAGAGAAAGCCAAAAATAAGAACCTAGAGCTGCTTGTTTGGATCCCCCCAGAATCCACTTAGCCTGTTTCTATCTCTGAGAGCAGCTGAGGTCAGTTCAGAGAATTACAAGAACTAATGAACGATGGTTTCCCTGGCATGGTTACCCACCTTTGTCTGGGAACTCTGTGGAGTAAATCCATGAATTTTGTTAATTCCATCTGTAAATCCATTTATATGTTTGTACTCACAGTCTGCTGTGATTCTTGTTTGGGAAGAGATCCCCTTTTTGTGTGCTTTGAAGATCTGTACTCTATTATTCCTGGGAGATGCTTAAAGGAACTTAATGGTGCCCCTTTTAACATCATGTGTCTCTGGAATCTGTTTCTTCTTTTCTTCTTTAGGATTTACTCAGTTTTCATTTGTGGTTCCCATAATAATCCCCAATTAATGAGTTAAACACCCATTTTATCAACAGCAATGACATTTGCCAAGTATGAGAAATTCTGGCTTGGACTCTGCTTTTGTAATTTGTCCTGAGTGATCAAAGACAATTCTATCCTGACTTCTGTGATCTCTAAATTATGTGTGGATTTTACTGATTTCCAATCTCAGAAAGAAGAAAAATGTTAAAGCTTTAACAACTTCTCCCTCTAATTGCCATCTTTGTATTGGCTTTTGTGAGAATGATCTGTCATGGCACACAATGAAATGAGCATGAAGAAATACCCAAAATAGGCTGCCCCTGGTCCTGCATAATCTGAAAGCCTTTTTCTGTTTAAAAGTCCTTCCCCTAAGCCAAGTCTGATAATATTCCCTTCAATTAATGTTTTAATAACTTACCACAGAACCCCAGTGTGGTGGGGCTGGAAGGGACCCCTGGGGATCACCTCATCCCACCCCCTGCTCCAGCAGCTCACCCCCAGCAGGGTGCCCAGGGTCACACCAGCCACGTTTGGGATCTCTCCAGAGCAGGAGACTCCACAGCCTCTCTGGGCAGCTGCTCCAGGCTCTGCACCCTCCCACCAAAGAAGTTTCTCCTCCTGCTCAGGTGGCACCTCCTGGGTTCCAGTTGGTGCCCGTTGCCCCTTGGCCTGTGGCTGGGCACCACTGAGCAGAGTCTGGCCCCAGCCTCTTGCCTTGGGGGGGCCCTTTAGCTCTTGCTCAGCACTGCTCAGATCCCCTCTGAGGCTTCTCTTCTGCAGCTCAGCAGCCCCAGGGCTCTCAGCCTGGCCTGGCACAGAGATGCTCCAGCCCCTCAGCAGCTTCACAGCCTCCTCTGGACTCTCTCCAGTAGCTCCTGGTCTCTCTGGAACTGGGGAGCCCAACTATACAGGCAACAATCATCTTCAGACAGCTGTCTGAATTTCAGTGGTTTTCACCAGACCATACTGTTTTTCAGAACTAAGGAGCTTCATGAACTTGTCAGTGTCTGATTTTGATTTGATTTTTAATTTATCATTCTTATTGTAGCAGATTTAAGAGCCTACATAATGACAAATTTATTAATTCTCTTAAAGTTCTTATAATGCTACTAAAGTTAGAAGTATTAATGCTAGTTTTTTTACATCCTCTCAGTGTAGATAACACCTTTAGTTCCCAAAAAGTATTCCTGGGTGTTCTCGTGGGTGTAGTGGTGAGTTTTAAATCCCCATCTTGACCTTTTGAACAATGTAGTTGCAGATTTGGAACAAAGAAGCCACACTTGTGGGGGGTCAGTTGGCAGAGTTTGCCATCCTGCAGGGTAAAAAGCTTTTCCTGTTGCAATGCATTAAAGGCCAATTTAATTTCCACTGATTGAAATGAAATATTAGATGGCTGAAGTGAAGTGCTTCATGTCAAAGTGGGAACTTTGTCTTTCAGGAACAAGCAGATTATTGGCTCATGGTGATTTTCATGTTGCTCCAACTAACAGAACTGGATCTGAAGAAGATTTCAGTGGAGGAGAAGGTATGTGAACATCACATCATTCTGGGATTTCCCTGTATAAAGAATATTCTGTGCAGGCAGGTGGAGCCTTGGAGATCTCCCATGTTTCAACCCCCAGGATAGGCTCCAAATTCAAAACCTTCTGCTTTTAAACCCAGAGATGCACCTACAGAACTGCTGGAGCAGTTGTGGTGTGGGAAAATGCAGAGATCACCTAAAAGCTTTGTTCAGTGAGGACATTTTCTTGGCAGCCATCCTTGCTCAGCTCCTGAATCTAAACAGGCAGCTGCATTCATGAAAGGCTCTGAAGTGATAACCACTGTGCTGCTGCTTAAATTCCCTGCTTGGGTTTTTAGTGCTGTGCAATCAACTGCAATAGAACCTTTGCCTCTTGTGCTGCTTTTCCCATAATTTGGTTGCTGCCTGTAGTGTTAGGGCCCAAGCCAGGCTGGAACTTTTCACCCTAACAGCTGCCCACTGAGGTTGGATTTCAGAGAATTATCCTTTGTAGAACAGTATCACAGAATCATATAAGGTTGGAAAAGACCTCTAAGATCATCCAGTCCATGACCACTAAACCATGTCCCCAAGTACCACATCCACATGTTTTTGAACCCCTCCAGGTTTGGGGACTCCAGCACCTCCCTGGGCAGCCTGGGCCAAGGCCTCACCACTCTGCCAGGAGAGAAATTCTGCCTAATATCAAATCCAAACCTCCCCTGGGGCAACTTCAGCCCAGTGCCTCCCATTCTATCACTGGTTACCTGGGAGCAGAATCCCTTTAAAACTGTTCCTTAAAGGGAATGAATCACTCCTAACTTTAGCTGCATAAATGGTAGTTCTCTTGTTTCATGCAAGGCTCTCTCTGTCACAAACACAGAGAAGGGATGAGAACAGGGTGTAATTTACCCCATCTACTCAAGGTGTTGATCTCTCTGTCTCCTGTGGCAATCTGTTTCCCTTCTAATAAGATTTTGCATCTATTAAAGCAGTTTTTTTCCCTCTATGGACTGTAAAAATAAGCCTGGATGAGTGGTTTAGACTAGCACTTAACTTTTGGATGAGTCAAGTGATTTCAGAAAATCCTCTCCTGGGGTTCTTTTAGGACATCTCCTCTAGCCTCATGAACTCTCTTGGACTGGCAGAAGGGAGCTCATGCCATGTCCCTGCTCACTGCAGGAGGGTGGCACTAGGGGAACACACTTTCTACCAGAGAGATCAGCCTGGTGCCCTTCTTCTGGTTAAGATTAGGCTGCACCTAATGTGCTTCTAGCCACTAATTCAGTCCAAAGCAGAGCTAGAGTGAAATCACAGCTCCAGAGAATATTTTGGGTTGGAAGGGACCATGGAAGTTCCTCTAGTCCCACCCCCCTGCAGTGAGTAGGAACATGAGATGAGCTCCCTTCTTCCAGCCCCCCAAAACAGGGTGGACAGAGGGTGCTGTGTATGTTTTACATGAGAGATCCCCTCCTGCTGCACCACCCTGCTTGCTACCACAGGCATTGCCTCCCTCCAGAAGTGTTTTGCCCTGTCAGCTAGTTGAGAGTTGATGGGTTTTTGATTTGATTTGAGCAGTCTGAACCCTCAGTAGAGCTTTCAACAGAATGGATGGGGGGAATCCTTGGAGTTTGAGTGCTCCTCCTCCCAGGAAAGACAGAAATGCCTTGTCAGGAATAAAATGCACTTTGCTTGCTTTGTTAATGCCCACTCTGTTCCTCTTCTGAGGAATAAATGAATGGCTTCAGTCCCTAAGGATTTTAGTTTGGCATCTTCCAGCAGCACCGAGAGGATGCAAATTAAGGGATAATTAAAACCTAAGCAAAACTACTTTGCATCTTATGTGGCATCCTGTTTTCTTTCCAGCAAAAGGTTGCATATATTAAAGCTGGTGAGCCACATCTGGCTGCCTTCCATCCACCTATCAAACAGTGCTTAAACCTCCTGAAAAGATTCATGTGGCAGAGTGCTCCCAGACAGGCCCAGCACAAAGACTGACCCTCATAAATCTGGAGCTGTCATCATTCAGAGGGATCTGCAAAGCACATGGTGGCTGGAAACAATGACATCACTGCTCTTCTTTCTTTTTTCCCCCCCCAAATTGGGGGCCCAGGTCGCTGCTGTGAATCAATATGATCCTCCTCCAGAAGTCGTTGCTGCTAAAGATCATAGGACTCATGTTATGTACAGCATGCTGCAGCCCCAGAGAATTTGGGACAGGTAAGTCTGCCTCCACTTCACATCTGCTCCTGAGGGTGGCACTCCAGGAAAGCAGAACCTCTTGTCGTGTGTAGAGGGACATTTCCCTGTCCCTCTCCCACCTCTAAATTAATCCAGCAAAGAGGAGAAGTTCAACAGCACCCTCCTAGCAGTCTGGAAATTAGGTAAATCTTATTTGGTTGAAATTGCTTGTGAAATGAAGTTTGTCATTCACCTCTAAACACTGGGACAGATTGTCCACAGCTCCATTGCTTTTAAACAATCTGTTGGAACAGATGGCCATGTGCACCAGACATGAAAGATGCAAAATTTCTATCCATGCCCAAAGGCAATTTAAAAATCTCTAGAGGCAGAAGAGAGCTGTGAAATGTGTATTCTTCCTATTCTGCTTCCCCTTCTTCTCACTGCTGGCATCCCATTGTGAACAAAATGATTGTGCTTTGGGGCTTTGGGGCATATTTTATATTCATAAGGTGAAATTTTCAAGTTTGGACTTAGTCCAGCTACTTCTGCCTTCAAGAGGAGGTGATGCTGCCATTGCCATGCCAGGTGTCTGCTCTGAGTCTCACTTCTCATCTAGCAAATGGAATCATAGAATCATTTAGGTTGGAAAAGACCTTCAAGATCATTGACTCCAACCATCCCCCAGCACTGCCAGGGCCCCACTAAATCATGTCCCTCACCCCACATCTCCACGGCTTGGAAACCCCTCCAGGGGTGGGGACTCCACCACTGCCCTGGGCAGCCTGGCACAGGCCTCCACAACCCTTTTGAGGAAGAAATTGTTCCTCAGGGGCAACTGAAACCTCCCTCAGCACCTCCTCCTAGGCCACAGAAAATGCTCATGCTTTGCTGCTCTGCAGATGTGTTATTTGCCTGATGAATGCTTGGCCAATGCTTTGAAATACTCTGATGGAAGAGACTATGAAATATAAGCAGTGGCCACTGAGATAAAATTTTATACCCCACACCCTCTTTTAACAAAATTTTGCACATCTTTATTTTTTTTTGGCCATTCCTGAGGAACTTGATTTAAGGTCCATGATTTAAAGTCAGAAATTGATGTTTCAGAATAACTTTATAGCAAGTCTTTATGTTTTGTGGGCTTGTCAGTGAAAGACAGGAGCTGTCCCAGTGGTGATGAGAGCTCTGAGAATCCTTAACAGCCTCTAAAAAAAAACCAAACCAAACCCCAAAGATTTATTTGCTGTTTTTCCAGGGCTGGAGATTTCTTTTTAAGAAAAAAACCACCATAGTTTTACCTACAGGCATGGATTTCTTCCAAGGCAGACATTTCAATATTTGTTTACTGCTTTGTTGTGTGTGTCTCTTCATTGCTGGAAAGAAACAATTCTGTCTGCTGTCAGAGGGACTGCACACACCAACCCAGGAACGTGCAGAGCAGCAGTTCTGGGGCTGACCAGAGTGGTTGGGGCTGCTTTGAATGGTTGCCCATGCTCAGCTGGACAGCACACAACAGAGTCATTAGGGAAAGCTTCCTAATGATGATGGGTTACAGTCTTCTAGGCTCAAAAAGGCTTATTGGAGCCAGATTGGGATAGTTCATTTCTGCATCTATCTTTTTAGAGGAGATTATAATTAATGCTGATTTGGGAATATGTGTGTGTGTGTATATAAAGTATGGTAATATTGACCTGGGCAGGCTGGAGAGTTGGGTGGAGGGGAAACTCATCAAGATCAACCAGGGCCAGTGGAGGGTCCTGCCCCTGGGGAGGAACAACCCCCTGCAGCAGGACAGGGGAGGGGGGACCTGCTGGGCAGCAGCTCTGCAGAGAAGGGCCTGGGAGTGCTGGGGGACAACAAGGTGACCATGAGCCAGCAATGGGCCCACATTGCCAAGAAGGCAAATGGTCTTCTGGGATGCATGGAGAAGAGTGTGGCCAGCAGCAATTAAAGGGAGGTTCTCCTCCTCCTCTACTCTGCCCCAGTGAGGCCACCTCAGGACTATAGTGCCCAGGTCTGGG